CCATGCAAAATTCACTCTACCTTTGCGTAGGCTATTGCATATTGAGGAACAGTTGCAAGGATCGTCAAAGAGTCAAAGCACCCAAAATCAATCCTAGCTGCATTTTGATATGGCATCAGCAGAACGGTGTACATTTGCTTGGTTCTTTCCAAAGTAAAATCATAGAAGTTAATATGAAGGGAGACTAGTGAAGCTATCAAGCAACCTTTTCCCTCTAAAAAGCCATGCGTAGGATGCTGCACCACTTGAAGCTCAGGAAATGGGTTGGGGGAAGAGTTCTTGCCAGTGGAAACACCAAAGAGCTCACGCATTCTGCAGAGCTTTATCGTTACAAATAGAAAGGTGTCTGTAAGAGAGAGAGATGATTTCAGATGCGCCATAGCTGAGCCAAAATTAATTAGCTTGGCTGCTGATCAGAGACAGTAGCATGGAAACACAGCCCTGGAACAGAGGATTCTGAAGCACTGCAATGACTTTGGGTGGAAGGACCCTGTATTTTGTTTTGGTCTGGCAAATTCAGTTCCCCTCTTGGCCCAATCATTTTATAGACACCATCAACAATCTTTAGGGAGCCACGATGAAGGTGAATTTGACACAGCAGAGTGTGTTAGACCATTACCAAAGGTTTTTTAACCTCTAGCAAATAAGTTACAGCATATTTTCATGGGCTATCAAGTGTTATTCTGAGTTATATTTATGCAGTTTGGGGGGAGGGGATGTATGAACATAATTCGAGAAGGCAGTTGTAAAATGTGAAGGCAGAAGTTTAGGCAGCCACAGAATAGCATGACCATTTTTCCAGAAATTTAAACAATACTGTATGCTTATCCGGTGTTTCTTTTAATGTTACTGTCTCCATTAATTTAATCCATGCACCATTCACAGGGGCTACAGCAATACTCCATTATGCTGGTCTTTTAATTGTAATAAAGATTTGATTTGATTTGATTTGATTTGATATACTCCATTGTACTTGGCTGTGTAGTGGCTGTTAACATCATACAAGCCATTGTGCATAGCTTTACTTAAGATTTCCTGCTTGCCTATTGTTTTCCAGAACATGTCAGCAAGAAAGGTGGGATCTAGAAGAAGCAGGAATATTGCAAGATGTCAGAAATCGTGACCTGACCAGAAGAACCATCATGAAGAGGTTAGGCTTCTCACAGAAATATGATTTCATTCTGATAAAATACTTTATTCAGTTGGTTTCTCAAACATACCGTTCCAGAATAGCAGGAGCCTGCAGTTAAATTTAAGCCTTCTTTGTGGTCTTCCTGCACAGTTATCCTTTTTTTCCAGGAAGCTCAGCTGGAAGGAATCTTGTACATTACCTGTAGGCTTAAATAATGCTAAGGTGGATCCAGCTGTAGTTACATCATTGGATGAAGAGAAGCCCTTTGATCAAATATATTGTCAATTTTTTATTTTCCTCAGAAATAATGGTGAAATGGTGAACCTTTTCTTTTGAGTATCTGTCTGTCTGTCTAATTTATATAGCCACCCATCTCACAAATGTGACTCTGGGCAGCATACAGTAAAAACAAAACAATAAAAACACCTCTTAAAATAACCATAAAAAGCAGGAAACATGCATATAACGCGGGAGAGTATTTAAAAACTCATACATAATAAAGCCATTTCTGGAGTCCTTGGTGCTCTCTGAGCTTGCAGACATTTCATTACTCCATTATATACAGTAGGGCAAGGCACTGCATATAAACAGGGAGCAAATCCCACGCTTACTCGCACTGATGATGTGGCCTAGTTGGGTAATGAAACTCCTGCAAAGAAACAGCCAAGCTCAGAGAGCATTAAGGACTCCACAGTTCAACCCTGAGCTACAGATATTCTCTTCTATTAAAACCATTTTGTGGGCTCACTGTTCCCAAGGGATCCCCAGGCCTGCTGGAAAAAGCATGCCTTGAGAGATCTCTGGAAGGCCAATAAGGTCAGGGCCACCCTTACCTCAGGTGTATGTGGGGGGTGATGTTCCAAAGGGCGGGTGCTTTGGCAGAAAGGGCTTGCCTCCTGGGTCCTGTCAGATGGAGCTTCTTAGCAGACAGGACCCATAACATGCCCTTCCTGCCCGAGCCGATAGGATGGGTAGATGTAATTGGGAAGAGGCGATCCCTCAAATCCCCTGACACCATGCCATATATGGCTTTAAAGGTCAAAATCAGCACCTTGAATTGGACCCAGAAGCAAACTAGCAACCAACGCAGCTTGCAGAGCAGAGGTGTTAACGTGTGTCACTCTAGGGGCACCCGTAACTGCCTGCATCGCCACATTTTACACCAGTTGGAGCTTCCAAATACTCTTCAAGGGCAGCCCAATGTAGAGCGCGTTACAGTAGTCCATTCGGTAGGTGACCAGGGCATGAGTAACTGTGAGCAGAGTAAATTGGTCCCATGGAAATAACCTAAAAGCAGGGAAATGGATAGGAAATTGGAGGTGGACAGTAGGGGAAAGAAAAGGTTGCAAGAAAGAGGAGGGACACGGGAAGGGAATGATATTCTGTGTGTTTGTGTATATGCATGGGCATATGCTCTTGCAGGTGAGTACAGCAAGGAAGCAAGCAAACCCCAGATCTCTTCCTGATAGTCATGAAAAGAGAGGAAGAAAAAAGCCAGTTACCCACCAGTGGTGGGGTAAAGAAGCAGGGAATTCATCAAAACGGGCTATAGTAACCACCATCCAGACAGAACCCCTGACCAATATTACTGCCAAAGCTTGAAATCCCATTCTCCATCAGTTATACAATGGACTGAAAAACATAATCTCTATGGATAACAATTACTTTATTGCTGGGAGCAAGTGGAGAATTACTTAGAAGTTTGGACCTTGCATAGTTAATATAAGTAATTTTTTCCTATTAAGTAAATCGATTTATTAATAATTTAATTGCATACTATGACATGAAAATGTGCAAGTCTAGTTTTGGTCAAAAGTTTGGTTCTTAAAGACTTCTTCTCCCCCATTTCCTTTTTTTTAAAAAAATATACACACATCCCTCCACAGAGAAAGCCTTCAGTTTAATGGGGAGGGAAGGGATTTATGATAAACCTGAATATCTGGTGCATCTGTAAATGTCTTGATTTATATCATTTGCATCAATTTAAATAATTCACGCAAATTATTTGAATCCTTGCAAAAGCATAAATTAAATGAATCACCTGGACTATTTCAGATACAAAGGACTTCATCCATTATTTTGGGATAAAGTACAGAAGAAAATGTTTTCTATTGTATCCATGGTACACAAACCTGTACCCTGTGTGTATATGTTGTATGTGTGTATGCAAAACCATTATTTCATTTTATTTATTTTTTTACTATTAATGACACTATACATACATCAGGGATAGTAGCAACCACATTCAGCAAAATTCTGTCAGGGTCTAGAGGTTTTAGACCCAAATTTCCCAATTTTAGCAACTTTCAAGTATGTGGACTTCAACTCCCAGAATTGTCAATAATGGCCATGCTGGCTGGGGAATTCTGGGAGTTGAAGTCCTCACGTCTTCAAGTTGCCAAGGTTGAGAAACACTGAAATAAAGTGATAGAGCAGAATTCTGGGAATACCTGATTTGTAGATGCAATCCATTCATTCTTGCTTTGTTCTTTCCTTCCACTGTTTAACATATCACCATACTATCTAAGCCAAGAATCATAGGTTTTTCTTCCTCATTCAAGCTAGAATTGCAACCCAGGGTATATTTTGGATTATAATTCCCTTAGCATGCAGCCCTTCCAGAACTTGTGCTGGGAGGATTTTTAAATGCTGTGGTCTGATTAACCTCTGTTTAACTGTCTTTTTGCCATTTTCTTTGAGCTCTGATTCTTACTGCTTTGTCTGAATCCAACATTAATTATTCACATGCTAATTGATTTTAATTTTTTTCCTATGAATCAATTACTTTTAAATCTAAGCTCATTTGACTATTGTTTTCAAACAAAAAGATTGTATATAAATTATGTTAAATACATAACTAAAGTTTTCAAACTAAATAATTCTAACTTGTGGACTCCCTGCCTCTTAACTTCAGGATTTAACAGCCCCAGCCTCTTATAAAAATGTAATGCCAGTAGAACTGACAACTTTCCTATCCTCATAAAAGTGCAATTGCAAAACATTTCATTCTCTGAGTGATCAAATGTTCTGATTACTCACCTCAGTTTGAGATTACCACTGCTACAGGCTTCACCTTCACAAGTATAATGCATGCAGATGCTGAAGTTAATTGAATCTATTCTTAAAAGTTAACCATTGTAGGGAAGAAGGCAACAAAACTGTACCAGTGTGATGGATTCTCATATTGTCTGTCTAGAGCCAATGCTTGTAACAGGGCTCAGAGTTAGATCTAGTATTGCTCTTTACATGCAGATCTCTTGATTTGAATTGTAGTGAGTAGAGGTTCCTCAAAAAATGTTGTTGTGTCTGTGAATACAGAAGCCATAGTTCTGGGACAATGAAGTGCCATTTTTACACCTTTTTCTTGTTGCTTTGTTTTCAGGGGAAATTCAACCCAAGATGCGTCTAACCCTAAGGAGAAGGTAACAAGCGTACCATGCATATTAACTATCTTATTTGTCAGTCTGTTGTTTCAGTAGTGATGATCAAATGACCACTTTGATGCATTAACAACCATTTTTGGGGCCCTTTGCTATACCTCCAACAGTCTAGCACTTACTAGAGAAATGAAGGACTTAGGGTCTCTTTGGCCCTTGCATTCCATTCAGATGTAATCATGATTAGAAAAATCTCTTAAAATCATCAGGGCTTAAGTGAGTCTTGGTTTATTTAAATCCTATTGATTTCACTAAGTCTACAGTAAGTCTGACTGGCTAAGCTTGGACACAGTCCCTTTCTTAATCTTTTATAACAACTCTCTTATTCATAACATGCTTTAATGTAGCTCATTTGTTTCCCTACTTTTCTACTCTATCTCTTGGGGAAAAAAACAAAAACAAATAAGCAAGGCAAGGATTACTCCTATTCCTGTATCTTATTGTAGAGAATGACCTGGTATAGAGATGCACAAGGAAGAGAGAAATGATTAAAAGCATATGAGAAAAGTACATTAAATGAATTAATTTAATGTAACTGTAATTAAAGTAAAATGAAATCAGATTTAGTCTTGTCCTGATCTTGTGATTTCTTTGTCCCGAGCCTCATGTATGTTTTGGAGGGGAGCCTACTGATGATGAGAGACCAAGCAGTATTTTTGCCTCAGAGAAGATAATATCTAGGGTTTCTGTGGTTACAATAGGTTTTGAGCCTAGACCTTACATTTTTTTCCCTATAGCTCAGTGTTGTAATTTCAAGGAAAATATTGTCTAGGAAGAGGTGGGTAAGTTGCAGAAAAACTATATGCCACCCTTCAAGGTCAGCCTCACTAGGTGCACTAGATCCTTCATAAGGTAGCTGTAGAAAATAAGGAAGGTGACCTTGATGGAGATATGCAAGATTCTGTTATAATAGCCAATTTCAATAAAAATAGTTTGTCTTCTTCTGGAGTTGATTTCTTGATCTAGTGTAGCTGGGGAGGCTGATACCAATCTTGTAAGTCTGATTGTGCTATATCACCCCCTCCTTATAGTTCAGTGAATTTAGGAAGGTGTCTGAGCAGCTTCAAAATGTTCTCTGTTATGGACTTAAGAAGTGTTTACTCCTTGTCACCCTGGTAATGATCTTGCATATTTCCATCAAGGTCATCTTCCTTACTCTCTACAGTAGCTTATAAACATAATCCTAAAAAGATTTTTTAAATGTATACAAAGCAATCAGTCTGGAAACCAAAACCAGCAGTAGCAAAATAAACCCAGCATAACATTTTTAGCAAAGTGCAGATGGAATATTGAATGCTTTTCCTGGGAGAGAGTTTCAGAGCTATGAAATCAGTACTGAAAAGGCTCAAAATCTTGTATACATGCTCTCACCCATCAGTTTATCACCACCTCAAGCTTGGAGTGAGAAAATGAATGTCTCAGAGCTACTACCTAGTGTGTTTTGTGGTTGAACAAGGACTTGAACCCTGGTCTTTCTGGTCCCAGTTTGACATACAATGGTGGTTCTTACTGATTGATGTTTTGAAGTCACCACTCCAGCCCATAATCAATGTTCTCTGGGTGTCTTACTAGGAAACGTTAAAAGCTGCATTAAACCATTTTACTGCCCCCACAGATAACAATGTCCTTGTCCCCATATAGCGAACATAAGCCTCAATTGAGATTCTGTGATCAGTTTGGCTGCTGTCACACCATTTGTTAGGGAGTAAAACTCTTCCACCTGGCTTTCTAAGAATGAAATGAACTTCTGTCTGAGTTTGTGTCTTTGCAATATATAAATTGTTTTTGTTTTTGCTTTTGTTCTAAGATAGAAGATTTTTGGCAGAGAAGCAGCAAAGAAAACCATCAGGATTTGCTTATTGTTGCAATAAGCAACAATAAGTTGCTTATTGTCACACATTGTCAAGTGCTGCTTAGATGAATACCGTATTGAAAGCCTAGTTTAGAGGGTGCTTGGGGTCAGCCTGCTGATGGGTATTCTGAGGGCTGCTTTGGATATTCTCATCAGCATTCAAATGCCAGCTGTCTTTGACTTTAAAAATTGATATTTGGCTCCCAAAATTGGAATTCAAATATTGGCATTATATTCTTTCAAATGACATTTTTGTTTATAGATGTTAAATATTCAAAGATAGAAATTACTGTTTGATTTTTTTCTTTCAAAGTTAGGATTGGGAATAGAAGCAGGAGGCCTGGGAGAGTTAAATTCTTTCCATTCCCACCTTAACATCCTGCAGAATCCTTGCAAGAGTCCAAAATTGGAGTGCTGGAAGTTAGCTATTTTGGTGCCAAAATTTTACAGCAGTTTTGGGTTGTTTAACATCCTGCAGAATCCTTGCAAGAGTCCAAAATTGGAGTGCTGGAAGTTAGCTATTTTGGTGCCAAAATTTTACAGCAGTTTTGGGTTGTTTAACATCCTGCAGAATCCTTGCAAGAGTCCAAAATTGGAGTGCTGGAAGTTAGCTATTTTGGTGCCAAAATTTTACAGCAGTTTTGGGTTGTTTAACATCCTGCAGAATCCTTGCAAGAGTCCAAAATTGGAGTGCTGGAAGTTAGCTATTTTGGTGCCAAAATTTTACAGCAGTTTTGGGTTGTTTAACATCCTGCAGAATCCTTGCAAGAGTCCAAAATTGGAGTGCTGGAAGTTAGCTATTTTGGTGCCAAAATTTTACAGCAGTTTTGGGTTGTTTAACATCCTGCAGAATCCTTGCAAGAGTCCAAAATTGGAGTGCTGGAAGTTAGCTATTTTGGTGCCAAAATTTTACAGCAGTTTTGGGTTGTTTAACATCCTGCAGAATCCTTGCAAGAGTCCAAAATTGGAGTGCTGGAAGTTAGCTATTTTGGTGCCAAAATTTTACAGCAGTTTTGGGTTGTTTAACATCCTGCAGAATCCTTGCAAGAGTCCAAAATTGGAGTGCTGGAAGTTAGCTATTTTGGTGCCAAAATTTTACAGCAGTTTTGAGTTGTGTCTCAAAGTACTATCAGGCCCACCTTTAAAATGCAAATACTAATAATAGCAGCAGCAGCAGCAGCAGCAGCCCCAAACTGAAATAGTTTAACTTCACCCTTTCCAGTGATATCATAGCATTAGTGGCCTCTTGTAGGTGGCTAGAAGATTTGGAAGTTGAGTTGGGACCTTCAGCCCCACAGATGCTGCCCAGCCCACTTTAGGCACTATAGTCTTTCCTTACGGAGAAATTAACTCCTAATCATTTTGGCCATCCTTTTTTGAATCTTTCCAATCTGCAGTACTCCTTTTCAGTTGTAATGACCTGAACCGTTCATAGTACGCCAAGTTCCTTCTCATTGTGGATTTTTTAAAATGCAGTACAGGGAGTCCCCAGGTAAAAAATGCCTGGTTTACGGACAACCCATAGTTAAGAACAGAACCTATTGTAGCAAAATTTGAGTTAAATACACAATGATTTGACTTAAATATACAATGGTCTGACTTCATTACACAATACTACTTATACAATATTATAAAATAATACTGTTCCAGTTTACATACAAATTTGACTTAAGGACAGACCTTGGGAACAGAACTTGTTCTTCAACTGGGGACTTCTTGTACTGGATTGGCTGTTTTTTAGTTTCTTCCCTAATGATCCTAAGCTCTCTTTTCAGTAAGTTACACCATCACTCTTAAGGGCCCTTTCTTGATTAGTCACCGCAAGCCCATTTATTTATGAATGTAGAGACTGCTTCAGTGTACCAGTGGGTATCACTTTGTAGCTGTTTTCAGTTAACTGCATTTACCTTTTCAACTCACATGTTTTGTGTCGATTCCCGAGCGAGGAGACCTTGCTCACAGTTACTCATGTCCTGGTCACTTCCCAGTTGGATTACTGTAGTGTACTCTACATGGGGCTGCTCTTGAAGACCACTGGAAATTGCAGCTGGCTCAGACTGTGGTGGTGCACACAGTTCTGGACCCTCCATGCTTTGCACATATTACATCGCTTCTGAGTGAGCTGCCCTGGCTTCCCATTTCTTTCTGGGTGCAATTCAGTGTGCTGGTTCTCACCTTTAAAGCCCTGGATGTTGTGAAGCCAGGTTATTTGTGGGACTGCTTCTCCCTGAGAATATCTGCCCATTTCACCAGATCAAATAGGGTGGGCGCACTCCAGATCCCTTCTTTTAAATGTTGTCATTTATTGTGCCTAGAACAGTGTTTCTCAACCTTGGCAGCTTGAAGATGTGTGGACCTCAACTCCCAGAATTCTGTCCACACATCTTCAAGCTGCCAAGGTTGAGAACACTGGCCTAGAAAGTGCGCCTTCTCTGTAGCAGTCCCTGTTCTGTGGAAGACCCTTCTCCTGAGTTCCAGTAGACCCCTACTTTCCTAGCCTTCTGGAAGGCTTTGAAGAGATGGCTCTTCCTGCAAGCATTGGAGTAGGATGAGACTAGAGGCCAGCCCAGTTGAATGCTGACATATGGGGGAGTGTTGCCTTTGGGGCACTGGGAGTTTTTATTGTGGTTTTATGACTTTTTGATCTTTTTATTGTTGTTTTGTGAGCTGCCCAGGGTTATGATGCATAAGATAGGCAGACATGTAAGCCTTTCAAATAAGTAAAGTAGATTTTGAAGAGATAATTAAAAGCTTTCCACAAACCATTGTTTATTTTGTTACACTGAGCATATTAGTATCAGGAGCACATTTGTCCGTCTCCCTGCTCATCCCTAATTCCAAGTCATTTAGAAATAAATGTTATCACTGATCTTTAGGGGAGAGGGCCCCACTTTGAACTTCTCTAACATTTAAAATTGTCCATGTATTCCTTCTTTAAACAGTTTCCAGTCTTTGAGGGTATCTTCCTTTCGCTAAGTTTGCTCAGGATCCCTGCGTAAGAGAATTGGTCAAAGACTTCTTGACACCTAATGTACAAAGTTTAGTGAGACAATACTTTAAGGCAAGAGTTGCTTACAGTTCATTTTCAGCTAGCTTTTTCTTATGCTCTGTAATATTTTCCTCTATTTTACATGGAAGAGATGCTTATTGACCTACACATTTCTGTTCACCCCCAACCCTTTTCAAAAATCAAAGTCACATTGGTTATTTCCCAGTCCTTGGGAATAGATGCCAACCTTGAAGAAAATTTGCATGTTTTTGTCACAGTTGATTCAGTAACTTTCAAAATTGAATGAACTGGGATTAAGATTCTTGTTTGCACTTGAATAATATCAGTCTTAACTGGGAGTTAATTAAGCAAATTAATTAACTTTTAAGTATGGGTATCATGCCTTGGCCTAGCTTTGACCACTACCGCCCCTTGGAGATTTTAACATACACTAAACACCAGTGATTACTTCTCATGTATAAGAACTTTCCAAGCAGCAGTAGATGCCTGCATTCTTACTTCATGCTAAACTAAAATGGTTTATTGGATGATGACTCAGTGTGTTGCTTGACCCTTCCAATATGATTTGTTCAACGAAGTATGGTTTTACACAGCTATAACATAGTGAGTCTAGCTAAACCATTAATAAATCAGTTCCACATTGAAACTATTCTAACACCTGGTGCTGCTTCTGGATACCCTTCTTTAAAGTCAGTAAGAGATTGCCCAGAGTTTAAAACCCAAACTCCTGGACAACCCCAAATACGTCAAAGTAGAATCTGTCTTTTAAAATTGGGTTAATTTATTCTGAACCAAGAGTTGAATTTTCTAAGAATTGCAACTGAAGTTACATTTGTGGTTTTTTGTGAATTACCATCTCAATATGCAGTGCTATATTTGGGCTTGTTGGATACACTTTGCTCTGAATGGCCCATGAAAGTAGTCTTTCCAAAAAACTACAGATTGATTGTAATGTTTCCTACCTTTGAAATTTACTCACTTCTAACCTCTCTCAGGCCAGATCATGCCCTTGGTCATTAAAATCCAAGGTGAAGCACAATCCCACATTTGAGAAGCAGTTTGATTTTGATATCCCTGTGTTTATGTGGGAGCAACACTTCACCCCTGAGACTTGGGGGAGGCTGAAGGACCGCAGTGTTCCATATGGTTGGCGTGATGTGCCATATCCAGGTACAGAACCGCATAGAGCTACTATATAGTGGTGGAAGATGGGGGGCTTTGATGAACAGTGGGTCTTGCTGGGTGTCTGCAGTTGGATCAAATTGTTCTATCACTGGCCTGAGCTCATTGCTGCAACAAATGTCAAAATGGTTAGCAGACAAGCCATTCTTCATGATTCAAGATCAACTTTCCTCTCTGGATCTGCAAAGTTTATAAGACACAGGGCCAGGAGCTGCATGTTGTATATTTTCCTCAGGGCACCTCCACCCCCATTTAAGGATTTTGACACTTGTCACTTAAGTATTTAGCCTTATTGAAAAACCATGTATTTTTTAAAATATAAATTGATACATACTTTCAGTTGAAATTATATAGATCACAAATGACTCCCACCCCTAATATGCATTGGATATTACATTAAAGAGTTAAACTGCTCTTTGTATTAAAGATGAAATTTGGAACATCTGTGCTTGCATGTGGATCTAGTTTTCTCTTAAAATAGAAGCCATGATCAGGACAGTAGAAGGTAGTTAACACTTTTTGCTTCCATGTTGCCCTAACCAAAGATCTCTCTCTCAAGACAAATTGCAGGTTGAGACAGATTTCCATAAGGACTGCAATATAAAGGATAAGGTTTAGCATCCTGCTGTGTATTGTAGTCCCAAATTTGATTGCCTTACTTACAAGTCCTCTTTTAAATCCAGGAACACATGTGCAAATGGTGGGTTATGCATTCAGTGGAACTTCTTGTGGATTAAATAGTAGTGGGACAAGGTAGACTGGAGTTCATAGGAGTTGCAGCTCATGCCCCAACTAAGGATCAAAAGAGAACGGCAAGCTTTTCTCAACCTGATGCTCTGCTGATGTATTGGCCATTGAGTTCTGGGAATTCAAGGTTGAGAAACACTGTTCTACCTAGTTGCAGCATCCAAAGGTTTTAACATAATGGATTGCTTAGCACTTAGAACATTTTTATAATGTTCGTGCAATCTGGGTTTTTTCTTTAAAGATTGAGATCTGGGAGGGGAGAAGAAGTCTTTGGAAATGCTGGTGCTATCCACATCTTGTGACATTTGCTTGTATCAAAGATCCCAGTGTCTTTGTGATGACTAACTTGAAGAAAAAGGCTTTGACACAACCCACTCTATTGTTGCTTTAACCCAGTGGCTGCTGGGAATTATCCTGCTCCCTGCCTCGTGCCCACTCTTAGTTACTTGCCAAGTATCTCTGGCTGATGTCCTGAATCTCTTAGATGGAAGTGAACAAGGGACACACTTTGAATGGAAGGAAAAGTGAAGCAGTGTAGGATTAAACTGGCTGCAGAGAGCTTTAGGAAGAGCATGCGAGAATCCTTAGCATGTCTGGACCTAGAACCTGGTAAAGGATCATTCACCGGGTTGACACTTTCCCTGATATTTCTTGTGTAAATGTTACTTTGTGACTGATGTACAAGAAAAAGTGGGCAACTTTTGCCCAACAAGTGCCAAGGAAGAGTAGGAAAGAACAAAGAAATACTCTTCATCACTCCTTGCAGGACCTCATGCTAACTCAAAAGGAATTATTAAAGCAGTAAAGATGAATGTCTGACGTTTTAGAAGCAGGAATGAAACCATTAATTATTTTTGAGACATATAATTCATCAAAGATTGTTACCCAGTCTTAAAAATATTTCTGACAGGAAAAGACTGTTCATAGTGGACATCAATACATCCCTTGTCTTTGGTAGAATGAGTGTTGTCTTCATTAAATACACCTAAAATATATATAGTATAGTATAGTATAGGAAAATGTTCCAAAGTAGAGATCATAGATTCATGGATGTTTTATAGGGATGCATAGGGATTAAATGTTCATTTCAACTGTGACTCACACCGTTATGCCTAGACTACTTTCATGTGCTTTACATGAGGCTGCCCTTGAAAACAACTCCAAAGTTGCAATTGGTGCAAAATGCAACAATCTTGCCTACTAACAGAGAGGGATAGTTTTAATAGCATTACACATATCTTGCAGTCACTGCACTGGTTGCAAATAGCTTCAGGGATCAATTCAAGGTAAAGCGCGACCACATCACTTAGCGACAGCAATCCCTGCAGTCCCGGTTGCTGTCGTTAACCAAATTCCATGGTGGTTAGGTGAGGCAATTTCCTGCCGGCTTCCCACAACTAAAGTCAGTGGGGCAGCCAGCAGGAAGTTGCAAGTCCCAGGCTGGCAGGCAGGTAAGTGGCTGCTGCCGGGTGGGGAAGTGAGTGAGGGGATGCAGGGGAGGTGTGGTGAGGGTCAGCGAGGGTGCAAGAGGTACGGGGGAGGTGCAGGTCAGGGATGAGGTGTGAGGGAGTGTGTGAGAGGCACCATGAGAGTGTGAGGGGGTGCACGAGCATGTGGCATGGGTCATGGAGGGTGTAGCGAGGGTTGGGGGGGTGCAAGGATGCGGGTCAGCGAGGGTGCGAGGGGGTGCACAAGAGGCACAGGTTGGGGAGGGTGCATGAGAAACACAGCACAGGTGCAAGGGGGTGCAAGAGCTGTAGGTTGGGTGCCTGGGGGGTGGGAGAGCCATGGATTGGGGTGGTGCGCAGGAGGGTGCGAGAGGCACAGGTCAGGGAGGGTGCACAGGGCTGCGTGAGTGGCCGGCATAGCACAAGCATGGAAGGTGGGGAGCCTTACCCCAGCAACTTGTGACCTTCCCTGCCAGCTTCCCCACTGACTTTCTGAGGAAGCCAGCAGGGAAGGTTGCAAATGGCAATCATGTGATCACGGGATGCTGCACTCAATAAGTGTGAACCGGTTGCCAAGCACCTGGATTGTGATCGCATGACCCCAGGGATGCTGGGACGACCGGAACTCCCAGGACTGGTTGTAACCACCATTCATTCAGCACCATCAAAACTTCAAATGTCGCTGAACAAATGGTCATAGGTCAAGGATTACCTTACAAAGCCCTACATGGTCCATCACCTGTGTACTTAACAAAATTCTCTCCCCCCGCCCCCCAGATTTAGCCCAGGATGTCCCCATTCCAAATGAGATGAAAGGGAAGGGGGCACTGGAATAGCTTGCCCCTGAGGTGTGGCTGCCACTTTGTTCACTTTCCATAGGAAAGTTAAACCATTCTTTCCTGATGGCCTTTTGGTACAGATGGTAGACTTGGGCTACCTTGGTAGTTACTTTCCATGCTATCTGCTTACGTGGTGGTGGTAGGGGGTACTGAACTCGTTTTTATCTTATTGTGTCATATTCTAAATCAAGGTGGATATATATATATATACAGTGTATTCGGAAAGTATTCAGATCCCCTTCACTTTTTTCAATTTTGTTATGTTGCAGCCTGATAC